CAAGGTCGCCTTCGTCATCCAGGCGCAGAAAGTATTCACCCAGCACAAGACGTGCAGGTTCCATTTTACGATCGTCTAGCGCGCCTCCCGTCTCTCAGAGCTCCATCTGTATGAACCAACAGTCTACCTACCCGGAAGCCTTCGCTTCGACAGCGACGCACGAGAGCAAGTGATCACTGGGGGAAGTAAAGGCGAACCATTAATCCTGAACCAATATATTTTACTCATTTCAAGTATAGATTTAGTTAAATCATTCAGTTTCTTATGTGTTTTCCTTTTTACTTTGTTACTTTTTAACTTTTTCCTCGTTTGTGTTCAAAATTTAGGTCACCCTTTGCCTCCCTGCCAGTCTACTGCCTGCTCGAGCTGTTGCGTTGAACCGTCTCTCTTCCACTCTCAAGGCCAATACAGGTGGCTCTCGGTTGCGCTAGCGCAGGATGATACTCAGATGAGCTTATAATTTGTTTTTCAATCTTATACTCGTTTTACTGCTTTTGCTTCTTACCCGGACTATCGCGCGTAGCATGGATCTCACTTTCAGCTGCGCTCCAAACACGTTTTTAGCATTATCGCATACTGCTTTACCTAGTCCAGATTTCAATTACGCGCCACATAGAATTCAGCTTGCGCGCATTTGCTTTCGGCTATTTACTGTGGTCGCGAGAGGCCGGACTACATTCATTTGGTAGCTGTTTTTACGATTTTGCGTTTTTGCTACTGAAAAACAGCATTGGTCGCAGTTTTTAGAGTTCCTTGCACGTAGGTATACTTTACCCCATACCATCAGGGGAAACTTTCACCCTTGCGCCCTGAACATCGGCAGTAAGCTCGCGCGTCCTCACGTGTCGTTTAGGTGCGCGCATTGTAGGGCTTTGAAGTGTGTGGCTGTATGATCTTTCCGTCTTACCACGAACTTTGTATAGTAAGCATGGTTCCTTTCTATCGCTCGTTGGCCGTGTAAAGATCATGTGTTACAGTACCGTTCCATCAGTTCGTAACGCATCCTGGCCAAATGGAGCTGTGTTTGTCTTGCTTATACCGAGGGAATCGTCCGGTTTCCAGCTCACAAGCAGCAGCCACTACCCGTTCTACATCGCTCTATGATCATACCTTAATCACCTTCATAGCAGTAGTTTTTCGTAGTAGTTAGTTATCTTTACATAAAACCATTCTTAAGCACATTTAGCCATCTCATACTTTATCTCAATATTTACTCACATCATATGATACTCATTTCATAGTTATTTTGAGTTTTATCCTGGACTTATGGTGTAATTGCGCTTCGTGCGCCGTTCTTCAAGTTGAAGGTGTTCTCACGGGACGAGTTGATTCCTGAACTTCCATCTTTTTTTGCGCGCTCCTACTGTGCTACCGATGGGTACTTTCTTTTACTTTTTACCACCTAAAACTTCAGGCAAAGGTAGTAGCCGTAAATCCCCGGTGTCATCACGTAACCACCATTCGAACGCTCAAGCCACTGCTTCGGGGGGGGGGGGGGGGAGTGTCGCGTCTCGCGATGCAAGGCGCTCCTCGAAGTACGGAGGCCGGGGGCATCGGTTACCGCGCTATCCGGCGACGATTACGGTAGCCGAGACGCGTGTTGCCGCGATCGTCTCCGGACCTCTCCTTAATTGGCTCGTTGCCAGCCAGGCGGCTATATAAAGCGGCGGCGCCTCATTTGGTTGCCTTGTTCGCCTCCGTCTTATTGATTGATTTTGAGTATCTTGTTCGAATTACCATTTCAGCCGCTATGCTCCTGTCCTTTTTTGTAAGAGCAGTTGAGCCGGAAGTTCTTCGGATTGGAAAGTGGATTCCTTTTTGATAGCGCAAGTCAACGCGCCTAGTACTAACCGGAAATCATCTACAGGAGCAGGAGGGGACGTGCCGTCGTCTACACCTTGGCGTTGCGCGGATTTGTTGCGCGAAACCTCGAGAGCCACATGTATTTCTTTGAGATTATCTGCAGACGCGCATCGGTAGCATGGGACGGGCCCTCGTCCCGTGTTTTAGTAGTAGTAGTATTTGTTTTGTTTTAGTGTAGTATTCTTTTATCTATTTTAACTGTAGTTTAGTGTCATAAGGATAAATCACTTAGGCCCGTATGCACTACATCCCCGCGGGGAGGGGAGGGGATCTGAGAAGGGAAGCATCACATCTCGCTAGTCTATGTATCTTTCTTCTTCTTTCTCTGTCTTGGTTTTGAAGTTTCTCATACACTGATACTTTCGCATAACGGATGCCAGGTTACTGCCATACAAGATTAGATATTCACTATTTCGTCTGATCCCCTGGGGATCCCCAGGGGATCACCTCATATTTTCAAAGTTATTTATCTTTCTGAAAACTCGATGAAAATGTTCTAAAATTGTACTGTGGATATAGTACAGCACTGCTAAACATATTTATGGTAGAAATGAGTGAAATCTCACGATATCAAAATCTTCGATGAACCGCTGCTCGCGAGCCAGGGATTGTCGAAAAAATCAAAATCTTCAGATTCAATTTCTGCTGTCGAAAACATGCTCAGCAGTATCGTAGTATATCTTCAGTACAATTTTGCAGCGTTTTCATTCATTTTCCAGGAAGATAAACGACTTTGAAAATGTGAGATGATCCCCTGGGGATCCCCAGGGGATCGGAAGAAATAGTGAATATTTGATCATGTATAGCAGTAACCTGGCATCTATTATGCGCAGGTATAAGGGTATGAGAACCCTTATAAGCATGATAGAGAAGAAAGAAGAAAGACATCTAGAGCAGTGAGATATGGCGCTTCCCCTCTCAGATCCCCTCCCCTCCCCGCGGGGATGTACGTGCATACGGGCCTTAATCAATATCATGTTTCTTTCGCTCGCGCGTTAGAGCGCAGTAGGCTAGGTACGTCGTTTAGTATCGGGCGAGCATCAGGCCTCGGGTAACATCTAGGTGCAAGAGCCCACCGAGTCGCCACAACGTGGATTCGACTTGGTAAAAACAGAGTTTTACGTATCTCTTCTTGTTTATCTTCTTTGGTTAATCATCAATCCAAAACATGTTGTTTTTGAAACAATTAAGAAGAAGCTATTTTCGTTTTCCATCGTGCTGCGGATAGCCCGGTCCCGGAGCGAAAACCTGCAATTTGAAAAGCCGTCAATTCATATGTTTTTATCCGGTTTCTAAGTTTTTCGTTTTCGCTAGTTGTTTTGCATCTTTTCATTTGTAATTTTCTATAAACAACCTTTCTCTTGGGGAGCAGATACTCAAACCTTTCACTTTTGGGGCCCTATCTCTAGGTAGGGTTTATTAAAAGCAGCAGTACCCACCGTAAATAATCTCTTTCGTCCGCTGAGGTGCAGGTCCCCATCGCTGGCAAGTTTCTTGCTTTTTTCAAAATGATTTCATTTCTTTAACCCTTTCGGACCTGGTGGTGGCAATTGCCACCATCAATTCAGAGATCTACTGAACTGGCGCAAGAACATTATTTAACTACTCTCATTGCTCTCAAACGCTTCATATAGCCTTTGCCTTCCAAATGTAGCTTCGAGACCGGGTGTTCATTTGCTTCTCTGTCAATAATATGTACATTTCTGTAAACAAGTGGATTTCAATTAATCAATAATTTGCACCGGCTTGAGCACCGTTTCAGTATCTCGTTTATTAGCCAAAAACTATTCATGATATTATCATAATGTTTTAGTACGATGTTGAGCAAATGCAACTGTTAACTGTTTGCGGGTCCACATGTATCGCGGGAGATTTGAAAATCCAAAATAAACGCAAAACCAAAAAACTGAAAAATCAAAAAGAAATAGTTCATAAGGTTAAGCAGACTCCAAACTCCGCTATAATGTTATTCATATGGTAATAAGTAAAAAACAATAGGAGAGAGGCTTCTCGGCTCACTCGCAAAAACTCAGGTCCGAAAGGGTTAAGTTTCAAATCAGGACGAAGTGATGCTGAGGATAAACAGTCGAAGCGAAAGGTCCAGAATGCAAACATCTTATAATACTGCTATACTTCCTAAAATAAAACTGATGTCTACTTACCCCTCTGCGCCAACTTCCAACTCCGAGGTCAGGATTCTTAGAAAATCGATGAAAATCATGAAAGTATTGGCTATTTTTGCGAATGGTTATTTCGTAATCAGCATGCTGGCTTAACTCCCTATGACTCCCCTATGCCAAGTCGAGCCCCATAGGTCAAAGTTTGCAAAATTAACAAAGTTGATATCGATTGATAAGGAAAAGCGGCCTACGACGCTCGCCCCGCTCCGAAGGGTATGCGTGCAAAGTGTGGTTCGGATCGGTTTAAAAAAGAAATTTTTATCCGGAACTGCAGGCAAACACACAGACAGCCATACAGACATACAAACGACATTCTCTTCATATACAACACGATGTCACGAGATCGTTGTTAACTTGATTAATTACGAAGGATGCAATGTAAATGAACCTCCTTGTCATAAGTCCCCCAAATGTCCCCAATGTGTTTCTCACGGGTTTTTGTAATTGACAGAGCCAGTAAATAGAAAGCTTTTCGAACTCCTATGAAAAATTTACGGAACCTGCAAAGCAATGGTTGTTTGTAGAATAAAAAATTCATTCTATGCGAGAGCTTCAACAAGATAATTTTTGCTCCAAAAGTACACCGTTGAGCCATAACATACAAAGTCCTAATAGTGGAATTGTTGAATTCAGTTAAATTCAGTCAAGCCAATACTGAATTGGGGACTTCTTTGTGCTAGTGAAACAACCTTTTTAGCGTGAGCAAAGTTGATTAGCTGATTGTTTCTTGCTCAACATCTAAGGCTGCCATTACAATAAGATTGAATTAGAAATAGTGTTTCACTGGTGCATACAGAAATCTCTGCAGCGAATCTCTTCATTTTCGTTGCGGTTCAGTCGCATCTCATGGCAAACATCTCTGATTTGAAACGTAGATCAGTAAAATAGATAAGGTGAATTTCATGGTGAACAGTCGATTTTGGTCGATATTGGATGTTGTAATTGACGGTTGTTGGTATGTCGGCATCTAACGATTGCAAATCTCTCACTTCTCTCACGATAAGTCAGTCGCCGGTATGGACTTCAAAGTAGAATACTCCGTGCTTATTTTCTTCACTTCAGCGCCCCTTCATCACACTTATGCTATTGGAATTGCAGTAACTATCGTTTCACTGTATCTATTGATTGCTTATAGTGACCTCATATCATTTTCATCAAATTCCTTACAAAGTTCAATGAATGGTGCAGCGGGAACAGGTGATCGTCCCAAAAACATCTTCTTTCAATGAAAAATGTTTCAATAACTTACAAGTTCACTCTCTTTAGACTTGAGCATTGTTCATATTGCCAAAGTATTCTGTGCCGAATAGGTTTGTTAAGTGAACTTTATCAAACCAACCGTGGCCCAACGTTTCCACGCGTCTTTCTCAAATACCTGAAAATGGCTCTAGTCATCCGTAGCTCTACGCCATCAAACATCCTTCTTAATCCTGCTAGCTTTCGACTTTCGCCTGACTTCCTTAGCGAAAGCATCCGGGCGGAAGATGAACATACCGAATTAATTATGAGTTTCCGCATCGGATGTGATGGTGATGGCGAAAGAATGTATACAGAGATAAGCATCGAATTTCATTTATAAATCGCATAACGATACGAGGGGAAAGAATTCGGAGGTTATCAACAGGCACTCGTATTTTTGGTTTATAGCTGACTAGCTGGCTTACCCGGCTCCGCCGTATGTTCCGAATGCTCGATTACCCCTTGTGCCAACTCCCAGCCCTGTAGCTCAAATTTTGCAAAAAATCGATAAAATCGATATCGATCGATGACGAAAAGTAGCCTGTGACACCCGCCGGGGCCCGAAGTGTATGTGTGCTAAGTTTGGTCCCGATCGGTTCAGAAATGGAATTTTCTATTCGGAACATACGTACAGACAGACATACAGACAGACATACAGACAGACATACAGACAGACAAACAGACATTCAGCTTTATATATAAGATTTCTTCACTGAAATCCAGAACGCTTCCAAGGCCCTCCTAGCCGAGGTTTTTTTCTCATAAGTCAGGATTTCAGATTTGATATAGAAATCATCTCCACCATGCGTTTCACATCTATGCCTGCCGCGTGATAACGAAGTTTTACGCTTTCATCTGCTTTGTGACCGTTTAAGGAAGTACCAGTGGCGGACCTAGGGGGGGGGGCGCCTCCCCCCCCCCCCGAGAATGGGTCGCAAAATTTTTGAAACTTATATATAGGTTATAGAAATGTGCAAACGACTTGTTTAATTTGTAAATAATTGAAATACTTTTTAAAATTTTTCGAAGATTTAAATTAGCCTTGTAAAAATTTTTTTCGGGGGCGCGGCGTCAGCCACTCCTCCTTTTTCCAGATTTTAGGGGTTGGGGACCCTTAAAATCTGGAAAAAGGGGGAGTGGCTGAGATTTTGGGAAGCACCCCAAAAAACTTTTCGGAGTGCGTGGCTAACGCCACGCACCTTCATCTGAAAGAGATTTTTGTCGTGCCCCCCCCCCCCACCTCCCGGTCCGAAATCCTGCGACCGCCACTGGGAAGTACTCAATGTTTTTTCTGTCTCTCCAATGTAGAGTGCATTACAGCTATGGCGATCAGTTTGATGAATCACTCCTACTTTTGCACAATCGCCTCTATCTCGCGGGACTACTATGCATTGCAGTTACTGTCGATCATACAATCTATTTCTAACTAATTGCTTCTTGAAGTTTTCGTTTGAAGTGAACATTGAAGCGATATCATCTTGCAGTGTTGCGCGTAGTATGCACTTTTGGCGACGGTGATGAATTATAGATAAAGGGAACGCATAAAGTGTATCATCGTTATGAATGCTGTTACCATCTCTGAGATGTTCAGTATGTGGTAAATTGGCACCCACCACAGCAAGCAAACTGTGGTGCTAAATTTGCGACTCACAACTCTTTCCTCTAGAGCACATCTGTTAGGCTCTTTCAAACATGTTTCCAACGACAGCTCTTTCGCGGATGCTGGATGTGCGGACTTATTTCTAAGTATGTTCTTGAGGCTTTCTTTACGGTTTTTATTCAAAGTAACAATGCTAACTTTACTTGCGCGTTATAGGACGACCATCTGTCATCCATTGTTTCTTGAGTGAGCTCTATATACTACAACTGCTGATTAAGAAGGTCGGAAGCAAGTTCTCGGATTGCATGGAGGTGAAAATGCAGCAATCATCGATGTAACGGTAGTACGTCAGTGGAATGCGAGCTGATACCGGTTCTTTAATTTTGGTCATAAAACAAACCGTAAGTACTAGCGCCAACCTTTGACCCATAGTTAGGCCGCATATCTGGGAGTATACAAGTTCTAGACTATCTAAAGATGTTGCAGTTCAAAGATTCGCTAACTATGGTCATGGTCACGTTTGCTCAATTCAAACATATTCTACTATCATATTTATCATAGCGCTTGCAAGGTTTCTTCATTCTCAACACTTGTATAGAGGAAAGAGGCCACGCAGAAGGCGACATTGGGCTCAATGCAAGCGGTGAAAAATCGTTTCCGCTAAATTTTAAAATTTCTACTTATGGTATTGAGTCATGCATTAGCTCCACCCTCATCCTCATAGTCCCCCGCCGTATCACTTTACCACCAAAGAGTTTTTGTCACAAAATTTATGTCGCCTTTCGCACCACACCATAGAGCGAAATTACGTGAAGCAACTCGATCACTGCGCTCGAATCAAACTTAGCGCTTTGAAACTAGTTGATAGATTGGTTGATAAATTCACGTGTAAGTTGGGCAAATATGCCTGCCTACCTTTGGTACAGCTGGCTCTCTACTTTTTTCGAGAAATATGAGATTCTGCTGTTGGGGCCGCCTTCCAGCTGATTATTGGTCTATTGTAAATTTCCTCTAATACTGAGTTCATGGCCCGTGAAGAAAGATTGTGTGTTTTGATGCTTGTAAAACAGTGGACAACTCAATTTCTCAGTTATAACCTACTTATGAATCTGTTGTCAAGCACGAGAGATTTGCCTGTTGCTGTCCAAGTGTCATTCAGCTTCCTACACTAAGATTGGAATTCCTTCTCAGAGACCACTCTGTATGTGTGACCGTCGTTTCCGGAGCGGAAACTCGCATAGTGATCTGTCGGTATGTTCAACGTCCGCCCTGACGTTTATGCAATAGGGAAGTCAGACGAAAGTCGAGAAATAGCAGGATTAAGAAGGGTACTGAATCACCTGGAGCGACAGATGACATGAGCCAAAGTATATGAGGAAAACAAAGGCGTCGCAACGTTAGCCTTCAATTAGACTGATCCCTCTAAAAATCATTTGGTATAGAAGACTTTGGCAATATAAAAAATGTTCCAATAGGAGTATTATTAACGTAAAAATTTTCTGTAGATGAATTTCCAGAAGCATACCACAAGTTCCTTAGACACATTAGATCTTGCGTGCCTATATTCAACTTGATTGAGCGGTATCTTCTGCTTAACATCGGCTACAGAGGACGACGTTTGTGTGTACAGCAACGAAAGCGCTACCACACCCGGCCAAACGGACCAAATGCAAGCCTATCGTTGGTGGGAGCATATGCGTATCCCAACTATTCTGTAATCACTTTCGAAGAGGATCAACAATACGGGTACGTTGCCATTCAATGCGATAAACCCTTAGTCCCAGGCCGAGTCCACGCGATTTCATTGCCTCCCGATCCCCCCCAGAAGACAATCGTTATGAGTCCATTGCATGCCGATCAACTTACATTCAGGCTGTGAAGTCAGTCACGATTGGTCGGAGAACTATCACAACCGAAATGGAAGAAATGGAAGTTGGCCAGCATGCAATGCACTTGTAGCAGTTGTCTTGTGGAAAAATCGCGAGGCGATGAAATCGCATGAACTCTTTCCGACGCCTTAGGTTGACAATTGACTACATAATAATAGAAAATGGGGTAGGAAGAGAGTATCAAGGTAGTAGAATAGCAGGAAATCTGGCTCATGCTTATTTCACATCAAATTATCGTGAAGACGCAGAGCAAGAGAAAGGAAAAAGAAAAAATGAAGGGAATGAAACGGAGATGAGACAGCAGTATCGTGGAAGAGGTCTGGCTGGCAAAAAACAGATACAATATGTACCTATTCTCGTCCTGGCTGAGTCAACCCGATCCATGTCCACCGATCACTATCAAATTTGAAATTTTCTGTTATGGCATCAGGGGGAACAAGACATGGTAGAAAGATGACCAGTGGATTAAGAAGGATTACTATAAGGTATATCATGGCAAGTAGGTAGGTTTCCTGGACTAGGAAGAGGGATACTGTAGACCGACCGGCAACGAGACAGCGACGCGATTTCTGAAGGGCTTGAAATATACAGGGTGTCCCAAAAAAATGTTTAGAACGTTTGATCGTTAATATCTCTCTTCCCAAGAAGTCTTTTGCCTTGCTTCAGGTACTGTTTTGTAGAGCTGGCCTCAACTTAGATTTGCAGTATAGAATGAATCACCCACCTCTCTTCATTACTGTAGGATTACGGTGGGAACTTTGAAGAGGGTTTTAAGCCATGAAAGGCCATATTTTGCCTCAGAAAGAAAACAAAACAGCCTAAAAACTTTTACACCAGGCTAATTAGAGTTGCTGATTATAACTGTAAAGTTCCCAACTTATTATGATGCTTCATTGAAGAGTTATGCCAGGTGAGAGGTAGCGGCCTTTTTTTCAATGTTCCTAAAAAGTGCGATTACACCGTTTAGAAAGCTTCGTAATCTTGTGAATAGTTGAGTATTGAACTCAGCGTCTATAAAAACCCTATTACACAGTTTTCACAATTTTTTGAAAAATTTTGAAACAGCAGCTTTTTCCACATTGACACCATATGTTTCAAGTTTCTACCGTAATCCTACGGTAATGAAGAGAGATGGGTGATTCGTTCTATAATGGAAATCTAAGTTGAAGCCAGCTCTACAAAACAGTACCTGAAGCAAGGAAAAAACCTCTTGGGTAGAGAGATATTAACGATCAAACGTTTTAAACATTCTTTTGGGACACCCTGTATATGATATGATACGGGCATGAATTCTGTTGGAGCGCACTTATTGCTCTTACATGGCCATCAGCTATACTGTTGATGTCTGAATAACTACGCTGAGTCTCATTAACAAATGTTACACACTGTAAGAAAACCTGTATGATGCATAACAGTCAATAGCACTGGTGAACAGCGAAAAAAATTGCACCTATTTTTTTTAGATTGCACAGTGATGTAATACGGAAAGAACAAACTCTTCATAATGTGGAAGGCGTGTATGGCAGCAGTTACAAAAAACAGAAAAAATATGCACATCACGAACAGGAGAAGTGTCTTTAGCGAAGTAAGATCAGATGATAGAATGATAAGTATAGAGTATAAGTAAGATAATGAAATTCAGGTTCAAGTGGCTCGGTCTGCAAAAATAAGCTTTCATGAGATTCCGTATGTGTTTTTTGTAGTCACAACGTTCAGCAGATGTGTTTCAGCGTATGAATAGCAGTGTTTGATCGCTGAATTGACCAAAGGTGTGGTGATTGGATCCATGGGTTGAATACGAGTATTAACTAGCGCTATCACACTTTACAAGAGTCTTCAGATATTAGTGAGAAACCGCTCCAGTCACAGTGTAATTCCAAAGATGTCAATAACACAGACATAGTGAGAGTTCACGAGGCACATGCACAACGCGCTTTTCGAATCCAATAAAGTTTACAAAAATACCAATACGAAGTCTATGCTAAGTGAGATGGAAAGAATACTATCTGCAGGATTCAGTGTGTACAACATGGTTCAAATCAAATGAATCAAGATAAGAGGATAATCAAATTTACATTCAACTCAGCATAAAAGCGTAATTGCACGACAAGAAAAAAGCAAGGACTTTGACGAGAAGCAATATGTACAGTCTGCCCCAATCGGGATCAGGCCGAACCGCCGGCTGAATTTGCGTGCTCGCAACACTAGGGGTTTGCGCTGCATACGCGCGCTGTCGCAGAGAGCGAAGAGATTGAGGAGAGAGCAGAGTGGCTAGCCGTAGGCGTGACGCAATACCCTCGCGGCATGGGTTCCCGCCATGCCAGTTTTGGCCTAGTTGGGGTTGGGGTAGACTGTACAAGAGATACAGCTTAAGCGATGGTCTTAAAGAGTCATTCGTGGCCTCAAGTGCGGACTCCTTTTTGGTTTCCTGCGGATACGGTCTCCCGGTGAGATATTTTCGTCTCCCGCTCCAGTTTCACGCGACGGCGTATTCAAGACTCGGACTCTTTTGCCTTTCCGCTGAAAACGCACAATCGTTTTCATCAAGACAGTAACTGAACAACTCAAATTATTAGGAATGAATGCTCTGCGTTATGGTCGTGGCGATATTGTCCTATATCTCGTCGAAACGTGTATAATGGTCTGTGAGACACGATACAAACATCTTACATTGCAACATGTAGGGCCCTGAAGTCCTCTGTTCTGTGAAATACTGATCCCTGCTCTCGGCCTGACCTGCCAGACAGGGCCTCATAAATCCCGTAGCCAACTTAGTTATCGACAAAGATGGAATCAACCAATATGCTTAGACTTGAAGAGAAGTGTGAAATCCTTACCCATCATTGAGATCTCGACAGAACGGGAAAAATTTTTTGGGGTTTTGTTTCGCCTTCTCGTAACGGTGATTTGACAGAGTATTACTAACTCTGTAAGGCGGAGGGTGATCTGGACGAAGAACATGAATAGAAGGGCTGAGAGCAATAATCATGCTCTGACCTCCAGAAATTTGCGGTAATTTATGCGCGATTCATGGAAACTTGATCCGGTAAAAGAAAAGATAAGCAAACACACTTCCACATATCCCGAATCCCCTTCTAAAGCGTCATGATCCATATAATTTGGAATAAATCTGAAAGAATCATGTGTAAATCAAGCAATTTCACATGAAAAAAGACGAAACAGTGTTACACAAGGAAACGAAACAGAGCGTCAAATAAGGAAAAGGAAATGGAAATTAGTAGAATTGCGCAAGATAGCTAATTTGAAAGATTGGTCACGAGAGGGTTTTGAAATCGGCATAGCTTATTTGGGAAAACAGCATGTCGAAATCCGCATATTTGACAGATAGACGCAATTCGGTGATTAGCCGCACTTTTGCAGAATCGAGCGGCCATCGGCCGGTAAGATTTACTCGCCCTCGTCAGTCCAAAACAAGAGAACGGCTTCACCGCAACGCCTTCGTCGCACGCTTACCGGCCGGTGCTATTATTTAAATCGTAGACCCCTGTAGTCGGCAAAGGGGTGGAGGACTATATGTCGACGAATTGGGAAGGGTCCCGCGCGGATTTCCTGCAGGAACGCATGTCCGCCCATGTACAAGGGTGCGTAATTGTCGCAAATGACCGCGGGGACCGCCATTTTCTCGGCGTCCTATAGTCCTCCACCCCCGGCAAAGCAATCTCAGTCCAGGGGCTAAGAGATTAACAATGACCTTATTTTTTATAGCCGACGGTAGCGAGTTCGTTGTTGCTGTCAACTGCGAACCGCTAGTCTTCGCATTGTTCCTTTCAAAAAGAAAGGAAGCTGATAGTTGAGAGAGGGACATGTCCGCGAACTTTAGCATTCGCTTCCTTAAATATAATGCGATTGAATCGGCGCATTTGCGGAATTTCCCGCGAAGTTGAAGAACAGAAATGGAGTAACACCACCACATATAGCGTGTATCCCTGCCAGCTTCCCATGACTACGTCCGCGGAGCACACGCGGCGCGGGCTAGTCTTGATGGTTCTCATCCTTATGAGCAGAAAAGCATTTTTACGCTCATTTAGGAGAGAATGAGGAGTGGGAATCCCAGTTCACCTCGTTAGAAGCCCATGCAAGAATGCAACATGTGCACGTTTCACTACTAACTCAATCTCAGTCAATCAGTGCCAATTTTAGCTCCCACTTATAGGTCGGTGATTAGAAGCAGTAGCAGAAAAGAAACAGCATTATTCTTAAAGGTTTTTTCTTTTTTGAAAATCCATGGTTAAGTAAAAATTGCACTTTGTATATAGGAAGCCCTATCGGCTTGCGAAAAGCTTTGTACTGATTGAAAGCGTCCGTCCAAACTTCATAAAGTAAAGCCGAGAGAGACGCTTATTTTGTACAAAAAGCCTTCGCAGGTATTCTCTCAGAAATTACCCAAATCCATGTTATCCAAGAAAAAAAAGCAAGAAGCATTTAAGACAGCAGCGCTCAAGATTACTAAGGCTACCTATGGAAAGCTGGGCGAGACACACTCTATACTTGCCTGGAAATCAGGAAGGTGATGATAACGGCAACCCACGCTAATTAGAGGAGCAAATTTAGCCATCAGGCACCGCTTGTGCGTACTGGTCCACGCAGTGTGCAGCAGTATATGTGAATGGGCCAGCACTTGGCGCAGGCGGCGACTATTGGCGAAATGAAGTTATACATTTCATTTCAGAACAAAATTCAAAATTGACTCGAAGATTTCATATGCGCTTGCTAAAAATTCTGGTATACGCGACTAGAAGCTAAGGAAATTCGTGATAACGTTCCAACCATGCTAAACAGTCTAAATTCGCTTTTCGTAATCACACGGTCATTTCCGCATTTTTGCACTTTCAGACGCTCAGTCTATTGCCGCTATTTCAATGAGCAGAATATCGAATTTATCGAACCGGTCAAATCTCGGGTGTTCCCCGAGCATGTTGTTCACTGCTGTAGGCATGATGGGGCTGTTTACATGGGTGTTACACATAGAAAATTTGAAGAGGTGATTGTTCACATCCCGGTGTTGAGTAGAAACGGTGGTTAGTCTTAATTTTCCCATCTTTGGAAGGGAGTGAATGAGCATGAAGCTTTTTAGAGGATGAATACAAGTTGTCGTTTTGTCTTTCACCGATGTATGGAAATGAGACAAAGTGGCTGCTACTAGTTGAAATGATCGAGCATTATAAACTGCAAGGAGTTGAGCATTTTTACCTATACATTCAAACAGTCGATGATTATTCACGTCGGGTAAGAATGACGTTCAATGGTTACAATCTTGTAGAATCTACGCTATTCGAGCTGATTCAGCTTATCGATGACTATGTAAGAGACGGAGATGCTGAAGCAGTATATATAAGTGAAAGACCACAACGAAGATGGCGGCAACTTTTTGGAATACAGGCATGGCTTTTATCATATGTAATGCGTGTTTGATTTAGATAGAAAAATGAATCATGGTATAGTTTCTCAGCGTTGATCTTGAACTAGAAGTCGTTTCGTGAAAAAAAAGAGAATTTCAAACTCCTGTCTTCATTGTTAGGAAGTCTTCATTGTTATTTCTAATCTTGGACAGAAAACTTGCTGAAAATAAATGCTACACCCTAGATGGTGTTTTATTACTCCAGCTGCAGTTTTTAGCGTTCTACAATATCTCCTTTTACTAACTCTAAACTTTCACAAGTGAAAGGTGCAGTGAGTACTCTGCCCTGAATTCTCTACGGATGAGAGGATTTAACAATTTGTTCAGCAAAAGTACTCAGGATCGACATTTCTGTTTAGGAATGTCTTCAGCGTAGTCGTTATCATTCCCGTTATGCAATATTCGCAGATCTGGATGAGAGGATTTTGACACTAGGAAAGGAAACACTTTCTGCGTATATTCAGTCAGTAAGCTTCCTACAGAACTGCGAGCATATTTCTTCTTTGGTGTTTTTAGAAGAAAGTTTTTGGAAAAACCCAGTGTAGGTATGATTGACTTTCACCAAATATTGATAAAACGCACAGAGAAAGCGCCGAGCAGTTACAAGGTCAGGCATTTTCCACTGAGAAGGCACATCTTACAAGGGAGTGGTTAGAAGTCTAAGTGGCCAATACAAGCAAGCCGCCTACCATTTGGTGCACTCAACGCTCATCTCGAATCTGTATGCCATATCTGCTTAGCGTCTCTGTGGACGAAGTGGCAGTATTGCGAAAAAATCGTATGTGATAATTGCAAAACTGAGCACAATGTTGCCGTTTCAGCTCATCTAAGGCTCTAAAAATTTAAAGTGTATAACCTTGTTTTGGCCTAGCATTAAGCCGCACATGGCTGTGTACCGCCAAAATTGCGTTTTGCATGCAGGATTTCTTATCAAAATAACTGCCTTTAAAGGCAGCGTCCAGGCAAGTCTGGACCTATGGGGATTTTACGTAGAAAGTATTTTTGGGGCCCTAACTAAGCCACTGCCCAACCGGCAGCTCAAGCAGTGCTCTAATGGCTGAGATATCCCCCTCGAAACAGGCCCCCGCGAACGTATTCGCATGGACTCATGGCAGTTTCGCGCCAGGATCCACGCTTTGCGCCGTGAATCCATGCGAAACACGGTCGCGGGGGCCAGTTTCGAGGGGAATATCTCAGCCATTAGAGCACTACCTGAGCTGCCGCTTGGGCAGTGCCTTAGTTAGTACTTTCCACGTAAAAGCCCCATAGGTCCAGATCTGCCTGGACGCTGCCTTTAACGCCTCATAACTTCGTCTATGTAGGCGCTAAGCGGATATGGAATATAAATTCAAAGTCAGCGTTTTATGCTGCATCTGATGATAGTCTGGCTTGGCCACTTTGATTTCTGACCATTCCCTTGTTAGATTTTTTTCTGTTGTTCATTTGACTGAATATTATTCTTTCACTGTACCATAGCCAGGAAATGAAACTCTTCGCGAACATTTGCCAACTCTAATTTTCCACAACACCTCTGCACTCCGTACAGAAATTTTCACCTTCAAATGTGTAGTGGATACGCGAAAGGTACTACTAAAAGTTGTGAGTGGAATTGATAAAGTGTGGACACTCAGGTATTGGTCATGCGCGTCCATGCAGTTCAACTGTTCTTTCCTGGCTATACTTCCACACGGGCGCCTCCCAATGAAGCGATAAACAGGTGACTCTTTTGAGTTGTTTGGAAAAAAATTGCGGTCCTTTTATGACTTTTGTAAAAGTGTTAAAGACTTATACGAAATTACCGAAAAGAATAGTTCAAGAAGAAATAAGATGTTTACAGTCATTCTCTAAGATGACCAAATTTTACGTACACACAATGTCCACCTTTGCCGTTCCCATTCTGAGTTCTGTCTTCGGGTGACTTTTTATAAAAAAATTTTGGGCTTTTGATGTCCATACGAATCCATTTGCGTCCTTGAAGCAGCACACGGACACGATTTGGTCTTTTATCTTACCTCCATGCTCAAGAATCCAGATAATTCGGACATTGTATGCAGTGAAATACACAGGGCGTCCCAAATAAATGTGTCTAACTTTTGATCGTTAACAACTCTCTTGTCATGAAGTCTTTCGAGAAGCTTCAGTTACAATCTGTAGAGCTGGCTTCAACTTGTTTCAACAGGGTGGAACAAATCACCAATCTTTCTTCATTAATGTGGAATCATAGTAGGAACTTTAAAAGGGTTTTGAGCCGTGGAAGACCATACTTCGCCTCAGAGAGTAAACAAAACGGCCTGAAAATAGACATACTAAACTAATTAGAGTTAATAACTCTAGATACAATGTTTGAATTTTATCACAATGCTTCGTTAGAAAGTTATAATATTATATCAAGTAAGCACTAGCAGCCGTTTTTTGACGTTCCTAAAAAATGTGGTGCCGCTTGTACAAAGTTGTGTATCGAACTCAGCGTCATGAGTCCTACTACACGAGTTTTCAAAACTGGAAAAAATATTCAAATCTTCTTTTCACAATGACGCCATATTCCGAAAATTCCCACTGCACGTACGGTAATGAAGAGAGATTGGTGATTCGCTCCATACTGTGAATCTATTATATTAGGGTGGTCTCCTAATTTTTTACCGTTTTTACTACAACCGCCTTATTTTTATATCTTTCGTTCATCTAATGTGGCTTGAGTAAGCATTCGACAGGGCAAAGCAACTTCAACAAGATGGCTATCAAAAATCTGCCCAAATCGTATCCCACTTGAAGTTTTGAGCTGAAATCTGATAGTAGCCAAAAACGAACTTTTCTATCAAAATTCGTATCTTCGCCCTAAATCGTTTAAAAAATTCCCCATTTATTCTAGCATATGCTTGACACATCGCACATTCAATTGTATACTCTCCGAATTTTTTCCATGACTAAAAGAAAAAAATGATGAGGTAAAATGGCAACTCCGCCCCTAGACGTCCTGAGCTCCTCCCATGCATGTGATTATATGTCTCATACATACAGAAGTACGAACATGTATTTGCATCCTTTGTAGGTGCCTCAATTATCGAAAAATGCTGATGTTCAAAATAAAATCGGTAAAAAATTATAAGACACCCTAATAGCTGAAGCCAGCTCTACAAAATGGTACAGCTTCTCAAAATACTCCATGACAAGAGATTCCTAACGATCAAACGTTCGATGCATCTTTTTTAGTCACCGTACGATCATATGAAATTGAGCAGAAATTATTTTTTTAATGACGAAAATGGCGCAAAAAATTGAAATATCAGGTTTTTTTTCGCCAATTTTCAAGAAAAAGAAACATGGTATGAAAATATTGGAGTGTGAAATAGAATTGAGACGAGCATAAATGATGTTGATATCCAACATTTGCGTTGCCATGAAAATCAGATTCAATCATCTAGACTGCGTGAATATTGACTTCTATGCACAAATTTCTAGGAATTCCCACTTTTCTTAAAGGATTCCAAACTGCAGATTACCTTTTTCATCATGGTGCACCATGTAACCAAAGCTTATATTTAGCTTATATTACTACTAAAATTTTTTGAGTAAATGGGTATTTGTAAAGTTTGAAAAGCTTTTTCACAGATTCTTAACTACTCAAACACTCAAATTGTCACAGAGTTATTCGTGAGAATGAAATAATTCTTTAACCGACCTGATATTTTTTGTTCTGAATTGTGATGATTTCAAATATAGTGAAACGTAAAAAATATTATTCAGGCACTACCGAGAAATCATTGCCGATAGCAAGCTGCCCTATGGAGTTGAGAGATCCAAGTTTACTATGACAAATTATCCGGAGCATATATTGCGGGATCTGTATGAAAACGTTAGGAAACGATTAGATCGTGTTTACAAGAGGACGATTTTGATTGATTGAAATATATTTTATGGAATACTAGCTTGCTTACCCGGCTCCGCTCGGCCCTGTCAAAACTCTGTAATAAAGGTCCCATCCCTATCCCTGTACAGCCTTTCCCTGTGCCCACTTCTGCACTTCATTTGCCGTTCCCTGTGTTGTTTTCGAAATTAGCATGCCTACTTACCCCCCTGTGCCAACTCCCAGCCCTGTAGCCCAAACTTTGCAAAAAATCGATGAAATCGATAAAAGACGACTGCTTTGACTTTTGACAATGTTACATGCACAAAAGACTTTAGAAGCTGAGTTACTTTAGCGGACAGAAATTTTAGGTGGATCTATAGTTTTGGCCAACCTTCGAGCCTGCTTTTTTCGAAAATTCTGATTTTTTCCTAAGTAATCAAACGAAAGCGGGATCCGCTCCGGTAGCTGATGGAAGCCTGTTGAACACACAACTATACCAAATTTCAGATCAATTCGTTGAGATGAACTACGACGCTTTTAGAGTGGATCTATAGTTTTGGTCAGCACTCTATACGATATTTTCCATCTGTATGGAACTTCTGCTCTAAACAAACTCAAGTTAAATATGAATTGCAAGGGCTTCGCAATAACATGGGCAACCTCTTTAATAAATCGATGAGGTATATGGTCAGTGGTCAAAGGTTTTGATTTTGGCCATCTACGAAGAAGTTTAAAAATCTCACTATCATCAAAATACAGGGTGTCCCAAAAAAAGTGTGAACACTAAACTCCAGGTTCTCTCTTCTAATCTGGCATCTTATTTCGTAATTTGTAATACAAATAGATGTTCTGCCAAGTCCAGATTGGTACGGTGAAATCTTTATTGACCTAACGTTTCGACAAGTCGTCTTCTTCGGAGGTCTGAAAGATGATTGTAGTCCTGACCTGTGGAACTACGCCACCACACGTCATCTCCATACTTATCGAGTCTAGACCTCGTCTTATACACAACGTACAGGGAGCCACGTTGGCAGAAAGAAATAAGTAGTGAGTAATGCACTGCTTTATCGCTGTACTCATTTCATCAGAGATGAAAGGTATGCAAAGTGTGGCTTTCTAGCTTTGAGTACAGCGATAAAGCAGTGCATTTTGTACTGGTTAACATCC